TTTATATTTCAGTTATTCTCCTTGGTAAGGCACAGCTGCCAATAGCTTTCTGAGACAAGGCACATGCATGAGAGAGAGGTATACTGTGAGATCCTGCATATTTGAAAATGTTTTTTATCTACCCTCAAATAAGATTCTGAAATAAGACTCATAGATGGGCTGGGTATAAAAATCTAAGTTAAACTTCCCCTCATGTTTTGAAGGCATTCTTCTATTTGTTCTAGCTTCTACTGTGCTGTAGCTATTGAGTGTACTGTGATTTGGAGATCTAATCTTTTGTGACTTTTTCTTTAGCTTTCTTTATCCATAGTATCCTAAAATGTCCTGTTGTACCTTGGTATGGGTCTTTCTTTTTATTAGGTGTACTGGACACTTTTGGGTGCTTTCACTCTATAATACCATGGCCTGTCTTCAACTCTGAGAGATTTTCTTGCCTTTTTTTTTTTTTTTTTAAGGAACATTGCCTCCCTCCCTCCCCTTCCCCCTCCTGCTCCCCCATAACAGTCAGTTATAGGTTAGTCTACCTCACTCAATCATTTCTCCCAATGCTATTCTGTGTCTTTATTTTGCTTCTAGGAAACTTCTTCAGTTTGATATTCCAACTCATTTATTGACTCTCTTGTTTTTGCTATGATAGTTTCATTTTCTGAGAGTAAAGAAACTGTTTCTTATTTTTTTGTGTGTGAATGCAACATTTTCTCTTAGATGATATCAATTATACTCTTTTTAGAATTTTTACCTGTTCCCTACATTGTTTTTCTCCTTGATTTTTTTTTCCTCTCCCCCTCCTCTGTACTTTTAGTCTGATGTTTTATGTAAAAGAAATATTTCAGGAATTTGGTGTCATTGGCTCTTCATACCCTAAGGAGATATTGAAGCTGATCTGAAACTCCCTGTGGATGGAGCTTTTTGAGTGCTGTAATTTACTAGTGGTTGGGTGAATAAGCAGTCTACATTTCAGTATCTCTAGGTCTTGGGTTTATCTATTTGTCCAGGCATAAGCCTTTTGTACTAGGAGATATAAGCAAGGCAGTTACTTCTAGGAATGCAAAGAGAGAAATGGGGCCAGAGTTCTGACCAGACAGCTTGTAGACTTTCACCTCATACCTCCTTCAGCCAAGTTTGGTGTGCTGAAGTCTGGGCTTCTTTGGGTTAGTCTATTCAGATAGTGAGTCTCTGGTCTTAGACTGTGATGGAGAAGGGAAGGGAAGGCTGACTGTGTAGGTTGGAGGAGGGGATCTGGGATTCTAGTTGTTCCTCATGTAGACTTTCAACTGAATTCCCTGCTTTTAGCCATGATCACCCCACCTTCTGTGAAGTCCAGGGTGGGGATGACACATAATATTAGATAGGGGGGATGGACTAAGGAGTATGAAAGAGAGAATCCCCATAGTGAACATGGCTGGTGAGTCACTTAGCAACTGAATGTGCCTGTGGAAGTGAGCACTGCTTTTGAAGATGTTATGAGGCAGTGTGGTCAGATGGAAGAACTGTATCATATAAGCCCTAAGAGATTAAGGGTGTCTTATATTTGGCTCCCTTACAAACAAAAAATGAAGACTCTATCAAAAATTCAATGGGATATCTGGAGGCAAGCTAATTGGAAGTTTCATAGCATCAGAAGAGGTCAGCCATTGTCCCATGGAATGCTGGAGGTAACAGGCAGAACAGTGCTTCAGAAAGTAGACAGGTGGTAGCTAAGAGGGATTTGAGAACAAGCAAAGGCTGTGTGTGTAATAAGCAATAAGGAATAAGTTTAAAGAAATCTAGGGATAAAGAAATTCTCAGTTGACTAGTGGTTCATTCATGTCAGGGCTGTGGCAAACATGAGCACTTCACATATGTGGTAGATGGCAGCTCTGAGTCTTAAGAGCACTGAGGGACACAAAGCAGTCAGTCCATCTTATTACTTTTTACAGGAGCCTTACAGAAGTGTAATAATATAAACTGCACATTCTAAAAATGTACAGTTTGACATATGTATAAGTATACTTGTATACCGATGAAATCATGATCATGAACAAGATCAAAATAGTGAACATATTTTACTACTTCATGTTTTCCTGTGACCATTTTTTTATGTTCCTTCTTTCCTGGTTCTACCTATCTACAACCCAGGCAACCAGCGATCTGTTTTTTTGTTTTGTTTTGTTTTATTTCTATAGATTAATTTGCATCTTTCTATGGTTTTATATAAATGAAATTATATAGTATGCTCTCTTTCATTTGTTTTAGTTTGGCTTCTTTCAAGCTAGATATTTGTTTTGAAATTTGTGTTGTTACCTGAATCAATAGTTCATTTTTACTGTGAAGAGGTACTAGATTGTATAGATATAACCATGGTTTATTTATCCACTCTTCTTTTGATGGACATTTGGGTTGTTTTCACTTTTTGGTTATTACAAATAAGACTATTATGAGCATTTATGTATAAGTGTATGGACACATGCTTTCATTTCTCTTGGGTAAATGTTTAATGACTTGAGTGACTGGAACAGAGAGTAGGTGTGTATTAGCTTTTTAAGAAGTTGCCAAACTCTTTTCCAAAGTGGTATACTGTTTTTACTTTTCCACCACCAGTGTATGAAGTTTTCATTTGCACCACATCTTCATCAACACTTGCTATGGCTAATCTTTTTTAATTTATTCATCTTAATACGTATGTGGTGGTATCTCTATTTTGAGTTAACTTTTGATATTGTGTTTATAGATCAAAGTTCCTGCAGGAGTTTGTTTTGCATATGGATATTCATTTTGTTCCAGCATCATTTATTCAAAAGACTATACTTTTTTCATTTAATTGTCTATGTACCTTATTAAAAATCATTATTTCTTGATTTTCTGATTTCTTGTATGTGTGGTTTTATTTATGGAGTATCTATTTTTTAAATTGATCTAGTTATCTTGATGCTATACTAAACTGTCTTCATTACTGTCACGAATCTCAATCAATTAGTAGCTCTCCAACTTTTTTTTTTTAAACAGTTGTTTGACTTTTCAAGGATCTTTGTGTTTCTGTGTGAATTTTAGAATCAGTTTCTGTCATTTTTTTAATTAAAAAAATGTTTTTTTAGAGGCAAGATATCACTTGTTGCCTAGGCTGGAATTCAGTGGCCTGAGCATAGTTCATTGTAACCTCAAACTTCTGGGCTCAAGTGATCCTTCCACTTCAGCCTGCCAGTTAGTTAGGAATAGAGGTGTGCATCACCAAACCTGGCTAATTTTTAACAAACAATTTTTGTAGAGATAGGATCCTGTTAAGTTGCCCAGGGTGGTCTCAAACTCCTGGCCTTAAGCGGTCTTCTCATCTTAGCCTCCCAAAGCACTAGGATTAGCGGTATAAGCCACCACACCCAGACACTATTTATGTTTCTACAAAAAGTTCTGCTGGAATTTTAATTGGGATTTTGCTAGTTTTATAGATCAACTTAAGGAGATTGACATCTTAATATAATTTAGTCTTCTTACTCATAAACATAGTGATTTGTTTATGTCTTTAATTTTTCTCAGAATATTTTTTAGCTTTCAGTGTCCACTTACCACACATCTTTTATCAGATTTATCCTTAAGCATATATATTTTTTAATGCTATTGTAAATGGAAAATTTAAAAAATTACCAATTGTCATTACTGATATGTACAAATATACAATTGATTTTTCTTCAGCAATCTGGTAACCTACAATCTCGCTGCTAAACTCACTTATTAGTTCTATAACTTTTTTGTAGATTCCTCAGTTTTTAAAAATTTAGATGATTATGTTATCTGTAATAAAGACAGATTTATTTCTTTCCAATGTAAGTGTTTTTATTTATTGCCTGATTGCATTGGCTTGAACCTGCAGCAGAGTATTGAATAGAAAAGTGATGAGAACTAGTATCCGTGTCTTATTCCTGATATTAGGGAAAAAACCTTTAGTTTTCTACCATTAAGTATGCTGTTTTGTAGATGCCTCCAATCAGGTTGAGGCTTTTCCTTCTGGTCCTAATTTTATGAGATTTTTATCAGGAGTGGATGTCAAATACTTTTTTCTTTGTTGAGATTGTCATGGTTTTTCTATTTTAGTTAATGTGGTAAGTTATATTCATGTTCGAATTTAAACCAGTTTTTCATTTCTGGGATCAACACCACTTGGTAATGATGGAATCTCCCTTTTTATGTATTGTTAGAGTCAATATGCTAGGTATTTAGACTTTTAGCATTTGTATTCATGAGAGATATTGGTCTTTAGTTTCTTTCCTTGTAATGTCTGTGATTTTGGTATCAGGGTGCCACAGTCCTGGTATAATGTGTTAGGATGTATTCCTTCCTTTTTTGATTTCTTGGAAGGTTTTGTGAAGAATTGATATTTTCTTAAATGCTTGGTAGAATTCAGCAGTGAAGTCCTCTGGGCCTGGTGTTTTTTTGGGGTAGTTTTTCTTTGTTGTTGTTTGCTTTTACCTTTCTGGTCTTTTACTTTTAACCTATCTACGTGTGTCTATATTTAAAGTGAATTTCCTGCAGGTAGCATATAATTGTGACCCCTTTTAACATAAGGAAAAAGTTGCTCACAAGCCCGTCAGATGATTTCTCTTCAGTTTTTATTGGCTAGGGTTATATCCTGGGCTTAAGCCTAAACCAATCACCAGGCAAAGGGGAGCAGTGGAATGACCATGATTAGCTTAGCCAAGTGCATCTGAGGTGTGGTCTTTAGATCAGTGATTTTAGCACCACCTGAAAACTTGTTAGAAATTCAGATTATTGAATGCTACCCCAAACCTACTGAATCAAAAACTTATGGGATGTGGTCTAGCAATTTGTGTTTTAATAAGCACTTTAAATGATTTTGATGCATCAAAGATTGAGAGTAACTGGCATAGACTAAACTTTATTTGGGGGAGTAGGGAGAAGTACCTAGTACTGGACAGTTTAGAGGTCTGTTAGTAAGAAAGGATGGAAGGTATTGCTCTCTAGCTCTCTATGCCTATATCATACCTATAATGTAGATTTCTTTTTTAAAGGTTATACGTTGGCTCTTCAAAGACGTTCACCTCATCAGAGAAACCCCTGACTCCTTTGCAGTGGTGTAGACATGTCCTAGATAACCCGACTCCTGAGATGGAAGCAGCGAGACGTTCCTTGTGCTTTAGACTGGAGCAAGGTAATTGTGAATGTGTGCATTTACATTCTCTAACTCTTGCCACTCTCAGCTCTGTTTTTGTTGTTGGTTTTGGAATAGACATTTCCACTGAATAAACTGACCCTGAGGTGCAGCTATTGCATACAATTTGATTCACATGTATTACACATTAGTATTTCTCCATATAGGATATATTTAGTTAAATTTTTATTTTTAACCAGATATTTTAGCTTATTTTAGTTTGTATAGTGGCATACGAACACATTTTTTTTTCTCTCTTTTTTTTTTCCTGCTTGCAAATATACCAGTCAATAAATTGGGTCAGTCTTCAGTTCTCTGGGGTTGGTAACAAGGTTGTGTGACTGAATTCTAAGGCAGAAAACTGGAATTCCATTTGGATCTGAGTACTGACCTTACTGAGCTCCTCTGATATTTAGTTGGATGTATAATTGGAAGTCCTAACCTTTTTAATCTGAGAAATAATCTTTGTATTGTATGTAACATTAGTTAATTTACAGAGCCCAACAGAAGTTTAAGTAAAAAAATGGACAGTTGGACAAACAGCAGAAGGAATGAATAGTACTCACTAATAGTACTTAGTTTCTTGCTCTTTTGATACAATCGATTACTTAAAACTGTGACTACATAGGCTTTTGGTTTGTCTCTTAACCTCTTGATATCCATTTCATTATCTAGGAACATTGTTTTCTTTTTTTTATAATCAATATTTTTTATTATGATATTGTGGGGTACAGTTAAGGGTTAGGTATACAAATATGCATCGTTCAGGCACCCTTGTTGATAAGAGGTGTCTCCTCCCTGAGGAACATTGTTCTCTATTCCATGAACCACCTGCATCCAAATCATACATGAGCCTGAAAGTACAGATTTCTGCCCCCCCCCGATAAAGAAACAGGGTATCTGGGGGTAGGGCCAGGGGAATCTGTATTGACAAGTTCACAGTGTGACTCTTATGCACACTACAGTGTGACTCTTATGCACACTACAGTGTGACTCTTATGCACACTGCAGTGTGACTCTTATGCACACTGCAGTGTGACTCTTATGCACACTGCAGTGTGACTCTTATGCACACTGCAGTGTGACTCTTATGCACACTGCAGTCTGAGAATGCTGCCAATGGAGCTCTTCAAGGATAATGAATAGTTATGAAAATATTTGGATGTGATAAGGCAAAGTATGATAGGTAATATTTCTTGAGCTCTTATTTCTGTGTCATCAGTACATTACCTTCTTGACCTTAATTTCATCTCATTCAGTCTAACTGTACTCAGGTAGGTAGGTACTGTGCTCACCTTTAGAAGTGAGAAAGTGAAGTTTCAGGAAGTTCAGACTGTAGGGCCAGAGTGTTACTGATACTTAGGAACAGCCAGCGCCAGGGTCTTCCTGACATCAGAGACTCCATCCTTAACCAATATTCTGTTCTGCTGTATTGATACGGTTGTGAGTAGAAATCAACAGAAATCTATTTTAAATATTTGGGGTAGGCCAAGCTAAAGAGCATCTTTTATTGTTATTTTAACTAAAATGAAAGAAATGATTTAAGAATAGAACATTGAATAGTGGTTTCAGAACAAAGGAATCTTAGGGTTATTCTTGGCAACAGATATTTATCTAACAGAGCAGCCATCTGAGTCAGATACTCCAGTATTCATTCTTTTCTCATTTACCTGAGTGACTCTAAGCAAACCATTAAGTTTCTTTGGACTTGGCTCTTTGAAAGGTTGTATAGACTACTCCTAAGGCCTTTTACTTATCATTTTTAAATATATGAATTTGACTCAATAATCTGAAGTAAAATTCAGATGACATTCAGAATTGTAGTCCTTTAGCTCGGGGGGCCAACAAACTTTTTCTGAAAGGGGCCAGATGACAAATATCTTAGGTTTTGTGGGTTATACAGTCTCTTTCACAACTGTTGGAAAACAGGTATCAATGTAAAAATTAATGAACAAGAGTGTGTTCCAATAAAACTTTATTTATGGACACTGAGATTTGGATAATGTTTTTTTTTTTCACATGTCATAAAATATGTGTATATCCCAAACATTAAAAAATGTAAAGATCATTCTTAGCTGGTGAGTTCTTACAAAAGCAGAGGCAGGCTGGATTTTGGCCACTCCAGGCCAGTTTGCTGACCCTTATTTTAGCTCATTTGTACATGAGCCAGTTTTACATGTAAGGTTGATTTTAAAGCATAGAGGATAAGCTTTTGTTAAATTTAATGTGAATAGCCCTTACTGGTGGTTGCTTATGAGATTTTCAACTGAGTGCCTGATGATTTAATTTTTCTTTCATTGTTAAGGGGCTCAGGCAGAATTCTGAGGCCACGAGGACATGAATTAGCATATTGCAGTTTTGTTTATGATTTTCTTTATTTAAATTCCATGTAAAAGTTTAAGTAGAGAGCTAGTTTCCAAAACCAGAATTCATCTTTTGCAAAGTTTGTATGTAAGTCAGAAACCTCTTTTGCTGTGAGACTAAATGCTTTTGTTCCAGAGAGCCATAATCCCAATGAGATAACTAATCGATTAGAATAGGTTGTTTATTGAATGAAATTTTTTTTTTAAAACTCACCTTATCGCTTATAAAATAATGTCTATATTTTAAAATTTTTGTCACATTATAAGAAAAATACCAGATTCCTGCCCCATCCTCCTATGCCTATTTTATTTTTTAGATGCATTTAACAAAAGCTATTTATTCTTTTAAGATTTCGTGCTTCTGTGGCTATGGTTGAGTTTTCAATTGGCTTGTGACTTTGGGTGGTGTAGGTTTAATTCTTTTACATCCCCCTCCTTATACTTTTTATCTGCATATCCTCCCTACGTAGCTTTTTACCAGTTTTAAGGTACATCAGCATTTATGTTACAAATAGTCATTTCTCAGCCTTGTAATATTTTATCATAGTTCTTTTTACATCTAACTATTTTGTTTTTTAGAGTTAATTGTAAAAAGACGCTTATTTGCTTTTTTTGGTCACTGTCATTAATTTATCCCTAAAGTCTTCTAAGGAGCCATCCTCAGAATGAAGACACAAAAATCCCTAGGACTGTTTTATTCCTATTCCTTCAGGCAGCTGTTCTCCTAACTCTAATCAGAACTGGTTTTCTATAGCCTCCAAATCGTTGTTCTAGTGGGACTTCCTTTTGCTGTATCCTGGGAGTGCCTCTTGTCTCTCTTCAGTGCTGTATCACCTATTTCTTAGATATAAAGAATTCCTTTTCCTTACATTTCCTTCTTTTAGTGGAATACAGTGCTCCACTTGTTTTTTTGGGGAGAGTAGAGGGAAAGCACTGTGCCAGGTAAACTTGGAGATTGTTATGTCTGAATATTGTTTTACCTTCACCCTTACACCTGGTTGTTCTCTGGGTGAGATATAGTGTTTTAGGTTAAAAACCATTTTCCACAGAATTTAGAAGGCATCATTCTGATGTATTTTAGTTTCATGACCATTCTCATTTCCGATTCTCTTATTTGTTGCCTTTCTACCTAAAATATCCCAAGTATTTTACATCTTTTATTCTTGATATTCTGAAATTTCATTTTTTGTGTGTGCTATAAACTTAAACTCTGCAGAATTTCTTGCATTTTTAAAATTTATGCAGCTCCTGGTTTTCTATGCTTTCTTTTTATATATTCCTGTTAAAATCCCCTGGATTGTTGTTTAGATTTTATATATATATAATCTCTTTTTGTCCTAGTTGTTTTTAAATGTTCTACTTTTTTGGAGATTGAAAACAGTTACCTACTCTTCTGCATATTTTGTGCCTTTTATGTGCTGGACATCATTGTAGGTAATGGGGCTACAGCAGTGAACAGGACAGATACTAAGTCTCTGCCCTCATTGTGTTTATCTTCTAGCATGCAGATTTTCACTTAATCTTCCTGATCTTTCTGGTTTTTGTAAGGTACCCTCATTTGTGTTTGTGTCTCTTAAATCTAACAGCCTTTTTTTTTTTTTCAGTTCATTCAGATAATAAAGATTATCTTTGATAAAAACAGGAGAGGAACAGTTGCCTGAGCAGGCAGGGCAGGGAGTTCTATGAGTTAAGGCTTTCCTATACATTTTTGTTTATCCTGCTTTTTCTTTTCTTTCTTTCTTTTTTTTTTTCCTTTGCCACAGAACCCTCTAACTCCTGTGATACTTTGCACCTGCAATTGCAGAATTGTGCCAGGTTCTTATTAGCTTCTTTTGCTGTGAGCCTATGGAGCAGAGAATACAAAACCTAAGTCTGTTATCTAATGTTTCTCTTTTTCATCTCTGAGATGTTGTGACCTTCTTTAGTCTAGTACTGTCTCCTCTCTTGTTCAGTCTTCCCTGTGGGCTTAGAAAGCTTCCAGTTTAATTGTCACTCTAGTGGGGTTTGTAAGAGAAGTGAGAGAGACTTATGTTTAGTCCTCCATATTAAAGAATTCTTATTGGCTTTCAAATAAGGGGTCCTTTGTCAATAATGGTTAATTGACAGCTCTCAAAAATTATGGTTTTAGCCTATACTTTATTCATAATATAGTATAAATATTTGAAATTATGTAAGCATTCCATATCTTAGAAGTTTTAGTTTCCTGACTGGCTGCATCTTACATTCAGAAGACACACTGGTGTCAGAGTGTCAGCTTGTGGTATTGCTTTCCTATTCACAACCATGTTTACTTTAAAAGAATCAGTTTTTACTTATTTGCACATTTTGTAGCACAGTGATAAATTGAGGTCCTTTGTAGTTTTACACCTCTTCACACACACAGAAGTTAAGGGCTTCACTAAGAAATCCACAGTCATGACTAGCAGCCATTAGATTTTAAGAAAGAGTCAAGATATCCTCTCTGTTTCACTCCTTTCTTCTCCCCCCCACCCTGTCCATCTCTTCCCATCCATCTCTCTCTCTGGCGCGCTCCCTCCCTCTGGTGCATTCTGTCTGTCTCTCTGTGTCTCTCTCTCTGCCTGTCTCTCTCTCTGCCTGTCTCTCTCTCTGCCTGTCTCTCTCTCTGCCTGTCTCTCT